CGGAAGGGGGGGGGAGAGGGAGCCGGGATCGCTGCCCCCTGCAGGGCCCGTGTGCACCGCCCGGACCGCAGCCAGCCCAGCCCGGCCCACCCAGCGCCAGGCAGGGGAGGGGGGGTCGAGCCAGCGGGACTGCTGGCATCTGCAGGGCCCTCGCTCAGCGCACAGGGGTTGGGGCGTTTCAGGCCTTTCTCCCCCCCAAAGACCCACCTGCAGGCGGGGGACCAGATGTCCCCATTTTACAGGGACAGCCCCAGTGTGGGGGGCTTTGCTTGATGACCCCAGCGCCCCACCCAGCGCCAGGCAGGGGAGGGGGGGTCGAGCCAGCGGGACTGCTGGCATCTGCAGGGCCCTCGCTCAGCGCACAGGGGTTGGGGCGTTTCAGGCCTTTCTCCCCCCCAAAGACCCACCTGCAGGCGGGGGACCAGATGTCCCCATTTTACAGGGACAGCCCCAGTGTGGGGGGCTTTGCTTGATGACCCCAGCGCCTGTTCCTCTCCCTTCCCCTCCTGATTTTTCACACGTGCACCAGGGGGGCTCGGTTGATCTAGCTGGGGTGGAAAGTTTTTCTGAGTCGTCTCACTGAGCACCCCAAAGTGTAGAAGGCCATGCCAGGTGCCAGCAGGCAGGTAGCTGGGGGGGTTACCACTAGGCTCCAGTAATGGCACCAAACACCCTCGCTTCCCTCTGTCCTGGGAGCAGATCCTATTCTCCTCCAGCTTCGTTCCCTGCAGGGACCATGGCCTGATCCTGCGGCCCCTATGGAGCAGAGGGCCAGGCAGTTTGCTGTTTCCTTTATCCGAATTATGATACCGCGCATCTCAGCAGTCCCATTTAGATTATAAACCTCCTCGGAAGAAGGACTTTAAACCAGTCGACTGATAGTGACGCTGGGGTAAATCTGGAGTTGTTCCAGATCACAGAGCTGGAAGAGACCTTAGGAGGTCATCAAATCCAGCCCCCTGCCCAAGGCAGGACCAATCCCAACTAAATCAACCCAGCCAGGGCTTTGTCAAGCCAGGATGTATTGCTCCAGATGTATCCCTTGGCCCTGTTGTGTCTGGAAAGCCTTTATGTACAATCCCTACAGCACTACAAACATGAGAGTCAAACCTTTGACTAGGGACTCGCTAGCGGTACAGGACTGTGTGGATCTTGGAGTCTCTACCGCTGTGCCCGGAGGGAGCTGACATAACACACTGGCCTGTGGGTTACGTTCACGTCTGCTAAAAAATGTGACCCCCTCCAGACTCAGCATTTTATGACTTTGGTTCCTACGGAGTCTTCTGATGGATGTAGCAGGGGACAGGGAAGGGGTGTCTGGAATGCACCAGGTATGTTCTACATTAGATACAAACAGGGCTGCTCCCCCGCCCCTACTTCCCAGCCCTGGGGGACCTGCTTAGCAAGCACACAGGTGGGAAGAGGTGTACAGAGCAAGACTTTCCCTTTGATTCCAGTGCCTGTATTGTCTCCCCTCCTCCACTGCCAAAGGCAGAATCATAACAAATATCAATAAAAAGCGTCTCCGGATTTTATAGTAGAGGGCTGAGTGTTTGCTTTATTTTATTGGCAGACACAGATGAGACTTTCATTCCTAATTACTGTGCAGGAGCAAGCAGGCACTGGCCCAGCGGTCCTCACCCTACGAGATGGTGAAAGGCAGGTTCCAGCCCTGCA